CTACACACCCAACAAGACCTAGTAAAGTAACACTACATAACCAACAATAACTAGTAAAGAAACACTACACACCCAACAAGACCTAGTAAAGTAACACTAAATACCTAACAATCTCCCCAACAATATCTAGTAAAGCAACATTACACACCCAACAATACATAGTAAAGTAACACTACATCCCCAACAATACCTAGTAAAGTGATACTATATACCCAACAATCTATAGTAAAGTAACACTACACACCCATCAATCTCTAGTAAAGTAACACCACATACCTAACAATCTACAGTAAAGTAACACTACACTCCCAACAATACCTAGTAAAGTGATACTATATACCCAACAATCTATAGTAAAGTAACACTACATGCCCAACAATCCCTAGTAAAGTAACACTTCATCCCCAACAATCTCTAGTAAAGGAACACTACACACCCAACAATGCCTAGTAAAGTAACACTATATACCAAACAATCTCTAGTAAAGTAGCACTACATACCCAACAATATCTAATAAAGTAACACTACATACCAAACAATATCTAGTAAAGTAGCACTACATACCCAACAATACCTAAGTAAAGTAACACTACATACTCAACAATCTTTAGTAAAGTAACACTAAATACCTCACAATCTCTTGTAAAGTAACACTAAATACCTCACAATCTCTTGTAAAGTAACACTAAATACCTAACAATCTCTTGTAAAGTAACACTACATACACAACAATCTCTAGTAAAGTAGCACTACACACCCAACAATCTCTAGTGAAGTAACACTACACACCCACCAATACCTAGTAAAGTAACGCTACATACCCAACAATATCTAATAAAGTAACACTACATACCCCACAATATCTAGTAAAGTAACACTAAACACCCAACAATCTCTAGTGAAGTAACACTACACACTCAACAATTCCTAGTGAAGTAACACTACACACTCAACAATACCTAGTGAAGTACACTACACACCCAACAATACCTGTAACACTACACACTCAACAATACCTAGTGAAGTACACTACACACCCAACAATAACTAGTGAAGTAACATTACATACCCAACCATCTACAGTAAAGTAACACTACACTCCCAACAATACCTAGTAAAGCAACACTACATACTCAACAATCTTTAGTAAAGTAACACTACTTACTCAACAATCTTTAGTAAAGTAACACTACATACTCAACAATCTTTAGTAAAGTAACACTAAATACCTCACAATCTCTTGTAAAGTAACACTAAATACCTCACAATCTCTTGTAAAGTAACACTAAATACCTCACAATCTCTTGTAAAGTAACACTAAATACCTCACAATCTCTTGTAAAGTAACACTAAATACCTAACAATCTCTTGTAAAGTAACACTACATACCAAACAATATCTAGTAAAGTAGCACTACATACCCAACAATACCTAAGTAAAGTAACACTACATAGCCAACAACATCTAGTAAAATAACACTACACACCCAACAATATCTAATAAAGTAACACTACACACCAAACAATACCTAGTAAAGTAACCCTACACACCCAACAATACCTGTAACACTACACACTCAACAATACCTAGTGAAGTACACTACACACCCAACAATCTCTGGTAAAGTAACACTACATACCCACAAATCCCTAGAAAAGTAACACTACATACCCAACAATACCTAAGTAAAGTAACACTACATAGCCAACAACATCTAGTAAAATAACACTACACACCCAACAGTCTCGAGTAAAGTAACACTACATTCCCGTAACATTACATACCCAACCATCTACAGTAAAGTAACACTACATAACCAACAATAACTAGTAAAGAAACACTACACACCCAACAATATCTAATAAAGTAACACTACATACCCTACACTCTCTAGTAAAGTAACACTATTTACCCAACAATATCTAGTACAGTAACACTATATACCCAAAAATACCTAGTAAAGTAACACAACACCCCCAACAATATTAAGTAAAGTAACACTACATACTCAACAATCTTTAGTAAAGTAACACTAAATACCTCACAATCTCTTGTAAAGTAACACTAAATACCCAACAATACCTAGTAAAATAACACTACACACCCAACAATATCTAGTAAAGTAGCACTACATACCCAACAATACCTAGTGAAGTAACACTACCCACCCAACAATACCTAGTAAAGTGATACTATATACCCAACAATCTCTAGTTAAGTAACACGACACACCCAACAATACCTAGGTATGTAACACTACACGCCCAACAATTCATAGTGTAGTAACACTACATACCCAAAAATCTCTAGTAAAGTAACATTACATTCCCAACAATCTACAGTAAAATAACACTACATACCCAACACTATCTAGTAAAGTAACACTACCCACCCAACAATACCTAGTAAAGCAACACTACATACTCAACAATCTTTAGTAAAGTAACACTACTTACTCAACAATCTTTAGTAAAGTAACACTACATACCCCACAATCTCTAGAAAAGTAACACTACACACTCAACAATACCTAGTGAAGTAACACTACACACCCAACAATACCTAGGTAAGTAACACTACACACCCAACAATACCTAGTGAAGTAACACTACATACCCAACAATCTCTAGTAAAGTAACACTACATACCCAACAATCTCTAGTAAAGTAACACTACATACCCAACAATACCTAGTAAAGTAACACTAAATACCCAACAATCTCTAGTAAAGTAACACTACACACCCAACAATCTCTAGTAAAGTAACACTACATACCCAAAAATCTCTAGTAAAGTAACACTACATACTCAGCAATATCTAGTAAAGTAACACTAAATAACCAACAATACGTAGTGAAGTAACACTAAATACCCAACAATCTCTAGTAAAGTAACACTACATACCCAACAATACCTAGTAAAGTAACACTACACACCCAACAATACCTAGTAAAGTAAGACTACACACCCAACAATATCTAGTAAAGTAACACTACACACCCAACAATACCTAGTAAAGTAAGACTACACACCCAACAATATCTAGTAAAGTAACACCACATACCTAACAATCTACAGTAAAGTAACACTACATACCCAACATTCTCTAGTAAAGTAACACAACACACCCAACAATACCTAGTAAAGTAACACTACACACCCAACAATATCTAGTAAAGTAACACCACATACCTAACAATCTACAGTAAAGTAACACTACATACCCAACAATCTCTAGTAAAGTAACACTACACACCCAACAATACCTAGTGAAGTAACACTACATACCCAACAATCTCTAGTAACCAACAATACCTAGTAAAGTAACACTACATACCCAACAATATCTAGTAAAGTAACATTACATACCCAACAATCTACAGTAAAGTAACACTACACACCCAACAATACCTAGGAAAGTAACACTACACACCCAACAATCTCTAGTAAAGTAACATTACATACCCAACAATCTACAGTAAAGTAACACTACATACCCAACATTCTCTAGTAAAGTAACACAACACACCCAACAATACCTAGTAAAGTAACACTATATACCTAACAATCTCTAGTAAAGTAACACTACATACCCAAAAATCTCTAGTAAAGTAACACTACATACCCAACAATATCTAGTAAAGTAACATTACACACCCAACAATACCTAGTAAAGTGACACTATATACCCAACAATCTCTAGTAAAGTAACATTACATACCCAACAATCTACAGTAAAGTAACACTACACACCCAACAATACCTAGGAAAGTAACACTACACACCCAACAATCTCTAGTAAAGAAACACTACATACCCAAAAATCTCTAGTAAAGTAACACTACTTACTCAGCAATATCTAGTAAAGTAACACTAAATAACCAACAATACGTAGTGAAGTAACACTAAATACCCAACAATCTCTAGTAAAGTAACACTACATACCCAACAATACCTAGTAAAGTAACACTACACACCCAACAATACCTAGGAAAGTAACACTACACACCCAACAATCTCTAGTAAAGAAACACTACATACCCAAAAATCTCTAGTAAAGTAACACTACATACCCAACAATCTCTAGTAACCAACAATACCTAGTAAAGTAACACTACATACCCAACAATATCTAGTAAAGTAACATTACATACCCAACAATCTACAGTAAAGTAACACTACGCACCCAACAATACCTAGTAAAGTAACACTATATACCTAACAATCTCTAGTAAAGTAACACTACACACCCAACAATACCTAGTGAAGTAACACTACATACCCAACAATCTCTAGTAAAGTAACACTATATACCCAACAATCTCTAGTAAAGTAACATTACATACCCAACAATCTACAGTAAAGTAACACTACACACCCAACAATACCTAGGAAAGTAACACTACACACCCAACAATCTCTAGTAAAGAAACACTACATACCCAAAAATCTCTAGTAAAGTAACACTACATACCCAACAATATCTAGTAAAGTAACATTACATACCCAACAATCTACAGTAAAGTAACACTACACACCCAACAATACCTAGTGAAGTAACACTACACACCCAACAATACCTAGGTAAGTAACACTACACACCCAACAATACCTAGTGAAGTAACACTACATACCCAACAATCTCTAGTAACCAACAATACCTAGTAAAGTAACACTACATACCCAACAATATCTAGTAAAGTAACATTACATACCCAACAATCTACAGTAAAGTAACACTACACACCCAACAATACCTAGTGAAGTAACACTACATACCCAACAATCTCTAGTAAAGTAACACTACATACCCAACAATATCTAGTAAAGTAACACTACATACCCAACAATACCTAGTAATGTAACGAAACATATCTATTTTAACAATAATCTCAAAACTACAAATTCAACACTGCTGTGATTAGTATTTATCCTGTAAACGTGATGATGACAATGTGTGAAACACAGCTGTATAAAGTTAAAGGCTAATGGTCACTTACATCAAGCGGGTTCCGTGAAGGCAGCTGTTAGGCAAAAAATACAGTGTCTTTATGTGGTACATTTAAGCTTTCGTGATATAATGCATGTAATTTAAAACACAGTCATATAATGTCAAGGTCACATGCATCAGGATATTTCTGAGTTGAATCTGAAATAGTTTGTGACCTGAAGCTGAACCTACAGATTTTATGTCTTGAATAGAAAACTTCCATGACTATATATATATCACATGTACAATATAAAGCTATCCCCTAATTGATGGCTATAGTAACAGAAGGATGTATGTTTGTCTCAGCTAGTACCAATTCACACCATGGAAATGTGTACCTAACTCTGTAAGGAAAAGTTAAGTCACAAATATTGTTTTAATTTTCTGATTTTAATACTATTCTACAATATTATGACCATCGATTGTTACTACTAAGTGAGAAACCTCATTTGATTAAATGCATAAGTTGGAAGACTTTTTGAATACTTTGTAATGTACATCATTTTATTTTTGTGTATCATGTACAGTATTTATGAACAATGTCAGATATGTTTTGTCTTGTCTTGTAAAAAAAAAAAAAAAAAAATACATTGTGAGCACTTTGTTCTGTAAACTACCTAGGTTTTACATGTATTTGCAAATGTTGGATTTACAATTTAGATACTTTTTCAAGGTTGATCCATTTAATTCTTATCTATAGAATTACGATTTGCAGGCGGATTTATTAATTTTCACTAAAATAAATTTCTTTACAGTAACAAGTTAGTCAAACCCACTCCTGATCATATTTGTAGTATTGACTATATTTTGTTTATGACTTTCAAGTTTCCAACTCAGATAATCCTGTGACCTTGACTTACTACAATCACCATGGCAATGGATCTGCTTAAAGCTTGAGCAGCAAAGGGTAAACTATCTAAGCAAACGATAACAAATCCAACGAATAACAAGCCATCATCTTTAAAATATTGCCCTTGATATTCAATCTCTCAAGTGTAATATATAATCATGCAGCGTCAAGTTATATATATGCGCAAATAAAATATGAACTGTTTTCAATATTTACAAAACAGCTGATGATGTTCTGCTATAGCTGACATCATAGCGAGGAATTCAGTACTTGTTTTAGGGTAAACATTGTACTTCTGGTATAGTTTGGGTGTATATACCAGTGCACGTATACCATCCAGGAAAAACACAACAACTTCTATAAAAGTAGATAATTAAGTCAACTAAGTCAGACAAGATGAGGAAAGCCTTACCTTACTAGGGGGTTCAGGAGTTGGAAGGTTTTTTCTGGGGAGGGCACTGGCTGGCCCGCCCCCTCTTGATGGGAGGGGAGGAGCAGGTCCTCGGCTAGCATCATCACCTGGAGTTCCAGGCTGCAACAAAATACAGTTAGAAACATTGGAACTTATGCCAGTCAAATTAAAAATCTCCCGTCATGAAATATTACCACTGATAAAGAAAAGGATGAATTACGTTAACAAGAAAATTATTCTACTTTTTATCAATGTTAATAACTAACTATCTGTATGTAAAATCTGCATTAAATGTAAAACGTGAGAGAGGGACTTACGCGGAAGGCATACCAAGAAAGTTTTACAAAAATCTAATAATTCTGTCAATATATATCATCACCAAATCAGTTTCTTGCAACCTCATCAAATGTTCATTTTGGCAGAGCATCAGATTTGAGGCAATGACTTGTTAGGAAGTATATTACTATCTTATAAGGCATGGACAAATAGTGTCATTTACCATTTATGGATATTCATGAATAATTAACTGAATATTCATGAATTATTTATTGACATGAAACCAGGAAAAGGTATCATCCAAAATTCCTCAATCAGATCCCATTACCCTTATTAAATATGCACAAAATTAAGCATTGAAGTTGAATAAGGAACTATGGTAGAAATTAGAACAAGTAAATTTCACGAAAATCTGATCTAATTACTTCAAACAATATCATTTGGAAACCAAAAGCTAATTTCAAAATCAAATACGAATGACTTAAGCTCAAGCATCAACCTTAAAAGAGGGATTAGCTGAAAGTTCAATTCAATTAAATTTATTGACTTACGGCCCATGAGTACATATTACATATTACATACAATACATAATAAGGAAGTGAAACAGCAAGACATAAGTGGAGTATGAGTTAAAGAAATACAGCTCTTAACTTATTTGCTTCAAAAATTTGCCGAGATGGCTTCATTCCTTGTTGTTATTGACACACAATAACTGTATTAATTTAAACATTGAAAGTTTTTGCCAATATTTTTTTTTGATATATTGACTTCTTAAGTCGTTGTACATATATCTATACCTTCTTGTATATCCTAAAGGAAACGACCAAGTTCCCAGTATACCATTACATTATTTGTAGGTTGTTAACTTTAAGTAACCTCTTACAAAATTTTAAATGTACATTTTCAATGTCCAACCCTTTGGTCGAACCCCACACTTCACAAGAGTAGTACAATATATGCTACTAACATAGGTATCAAACAAACACCGCATGGTTTTATAATTAAGGCTCATATTTAAACACTTAAAAAATAAGGCAAACATGGCTGTACGTCCTTGATCAGACAATTGTTTCTGTATGTTATTGAACTTGTTGTTGTANATACCCAACAATCTCTAGTAAAGTAACACTACACACCCAACAATATCTAGTAAAGTAACACCACATACCTAACAATCTACAGTAAAGTAACACTACATACCCAACATTCTCTAGTAAAGTAACACAACACACCCAACAATACNGGTCAACACAATCAAGCTTTTTTCCATGGTAAGTCCATGTTTCATTTTTTCCAATTTTCCCGCCTTTACGGAATACCACAACTTTCATTTTTTCACTATTAACAGTTAATTTCCATTGCTTGCAATAAAATGTCAGGATTATCCAGTAATTCCTGCAAGCCTTTAACAGTTTCTGAAAGCAAGACTAAATCGTCAGCATATAACATAAGGAATAGGCTTTAAAATCGTTGGTTACATTTTGAGATAAAAAAAAGACTCAAAGTCATTAACGTACATAGAAAAAAGTATCGGTGACAAAATTTTGCCTTAATTAATAGACTGATACCTCTAAAATTATTAGGATAAGTTTGTACACCTTTTTCATAGACTGGAATTATGACGGACACAGACCACTCCGAAGGGAAGCACCCGGAGTTCAAATTTTCATTAAAGGGGCTGGTCGGGGAAAAATGTCATATTTGCTAAAATGGCATACACATGTTTAAAATACCTTCTCATGAAATATACCGATTCAAACTTTGCTGAAATTCACTCCCTAAGTGTAAAAATTATAATTATATTAAAGAAATCCTAAATCGTCACCTGACAGTCTAAAACTCTCAATTGACCCAGATCAGTGATGTAATTTTACTGCACACGCGTCATCAACAAGGCCAAATGTAAACATTGCGGTGAAAGAAAAAGATGCATGCAAAAGTCATGACAGGCATGAGGTATCAATACCGTTATATAAAACAACAACATATAGGTAGGAATACTACACTTGCATCATACATGACCTTTGAAAACAATTATTTATGTATAGTATTGCTGTAATATCCGCTAGTTGAGTCTGACATGGCACATGACAGCGTGCTATTGTTGTTGTCTTCAATGCCTCACTTTCGAAACAACCACGTGACATATATAAATAGATCTGCGCTAAATTTACGCGGGGCTTCCCCAAGATTTCAGTGGTCAAAACTGGACATTGCAAGCAGAACTCGACCATCATATTGCCATGGTATAACTTTTGGAAGGCCAGAGAACGTGTTTAGATCCATTTATTTTGTATTTTTTTCCCNTACACACCCAACAATACCTAGTAAAGTAACACTACACACCCAACAATCTCTAGTAAAGTAACACTACACACCCAACAATACCTAGTAAAGTAAGACTACACACCCAACAATANCGACCATCATATTGCCATGGTATAACTTTTGGAAGGCCAGAGAACGTGTTTAGATCCATTTATTTTGTATTTTTTTCCCCGACCAGCCCCTTTAAATAGTATACACAAGGCAGGCAGGCAACAATAAATATTTACCGACAAAAAAACATTCGTTTCAAATTCCATCGATTCCATTTGATTTACCACAATTTAAATTACGAATAGCTTTATCAATTTCATCAATAACTATAGGACTGTCTAATTTTTCCTATAATGGCAAAGAATTTTCCTCTGCACCGCAATTAAAAGTATCATAAACACCAGTCTCATCGCACCCTCTGTGGGAAGCCCTTTAAAATGGTTATATAAAACATCAATACTCATTTGGGGACCTGATGATTTAGGCGATGAAAATATCTTATAGAACTGTTTTGAATTGTACTTTCTCAGGTATTCTTGCATTTCACCTTCAAATCTAATATAATCTCTTTTCTTAACAACTTCTGAAAGTTTATCCCATTCTGAACTTACTAATGGCCGACGAGTTTGGGGTGCAGCATCTCCCGGGAGGGGCAGTTCTCTCCGGGGGCGGCTCATCTCGGGAATCTGCCAAACTGAAATCACAAACACATGTACAAATAGAGGGAATCGCCTGTTACACTGTGAATGAAATTGAAAAAGATTACTTTATATTTTCTGATAGATGTTTCTTTGCAGGCTTTTCAGTAACTTTTTGAACAGACCATATGCCATTTTAAACTGGCCTGGTCAACTATTGTTAAATTACAGACATATAAAATGGTGTGAACACTCAGGCCAGAAGGTAAATGTGCTTCAAGTTTACAAGTTTATTGTTTTTTCTCAGATACATTAAGATGTACAACATGAGGTATAAGAGTATAATAAAACACATGTGATGACAAAATGGATGCTTCAGAAGCATGTAATGCAGACAGGACTACAAATAGCTTTACTGCATACTTCCCACCTCTCACAATGGAAAACTGTGGGCAATAAATCACTTGCTACCACAGGCCACTGCACACATAATCCCCTTTCATGGCCAATCATGATTACATGACCATGAAAGGGGGCCCGGTGTGCCCAGTGGACTGTGGTCACAAATTGTAAGAAAGGGGAGATAATCAATAAGTAAGTAGCGATAAAGTCAATACAGTGGAAAGGATAAACTTAATTGACACATTTAAAAAGAAAAAAAGAAGTTAAAAATGGTAATTTTATGATTGAAAAACAAACAAACAAAATTACTGAGTTGGCAGCGTTATTGATTTCCTTATCACGTGAGATGATAAGCATTTCCTGGAAAAGTTTATAATATTTAGGAGCTATTTCTTTATACAATTCAAATATACCATTCATTGAAAGAACTGGAATTCCTTAGAGATTGATACACCTTTACATTGTATGTATGAAAATGTTTTCAATATCCTGTACGTTTGCCACATCTTGAAAATTAAACTGAAAATGTAGTCAGAAATTCAACATTGTTTCCCGTATTTTGTTCTAATAGTTGAACAGACACTCCTTACCTCCGCTGACACTGGAGCTGGATAGTACTGTAATCCAAAAACACTTGTATCCATTATGAAGGATACACTAAGACTGGGCTATTGAGAATAAAGACAAACTTACTTTGTTCTGATTAGTACTCACTCACACAGGTACGTGTAAATTATCTGCAGTGTAGGGTAGGTAAAAAGATTGTCCAGGTGAACATTTTTTACTCAATTTTTCTGTTTTGTTCGAGTTGGGAAACATGCAGTAAGCCAGTTATTGCATGATTTCTCTTCACTCGGGACTTATTACACCCTCGCTTCGCTCGGGTGTAATAAATCCCTTGTTACTCGAAAACCAATCAATAACCTTTACTTACTGCATACTTCCCACCTCTCACAATGGAAAAGTGTCGGCAATAAATCACTTGCTACCACAGTCCACTGCACACATAATCCCCTTTCAAGGCCAATCATGATTACATGACCATGAAAGGGGGTGTGCCGAGTGTACTTTGGCCACAAATGCTGTAAGAAAGGGGAGATAATCAATCAGTGAGTAACGATGAAGTCAATACAGTAGAGGATAAACTTAGTTGACACATTTCAAATAAGGGGAAAAAATGAAAGTTAAAAATGGTAATTTCATGATTGAAAAACACTAACAGATTTCCTTATCACGTGAGAGGATAAGCATTTCCCGGAAAAGTTTATAATCTTAAGGAGCTGTTCCTTTATACAAAATTGCACCTTCAAATATACCATTCATTGAAAGAACTGGAATTCCTTAGGGATTGATAAACCCTTACATTGTATATATAAAATTGGTTTCAATATCTTGTACCTTTGCCACATCTTGAAAATTAAACTGAAAATGTAGTCAGAAATTCAACATTGTTTCCCGTATTTTGTTCTAATAGTTGAACAGACACTCCTTACCTTCGCTGACACTGGAGCTGGATAGTACTGTAATCCAAAAACACTTGTATCCATTATGAAGGATACACTAAGACTGGGCTATTGAGAATCTTACCTGGTTATGATTAGTACTCACTCACATAGGTACATGAAAATTATCTGCAGTGTAGGGTAGGTAAAAAGATTGTCCAGGTGAACATTTTTTACTCAATTTTTCTGTTTTGTTCGAGTTGGGCAGCATGCAGTAAGCCAGTTATTGCATGATTTCTCTTCCCTCGGGACTTATTACACCCTCGCTTCGCTCGGGTGCAATTAATCCCTTGTTACTCGAAAACCATGCAATAACCTTTACTTATTCAACACTTTACAAAGAAGTGTGAAAATCAGTCAAGCATTACCTTTATCTGGAGTCTTTGTCATTTGACACTGTTTGTGAGTGTCACTGGTCTGAGCAGTTAACCAGCATGTCACAATAACCATTTCAAAATTGATAATAACATGATTCATTTAACAATTTAATAACAAGGAACTTTAACAAAAAGTTGCACTTGAACAAGGACATAGAGCCATATATCAGTCAATGATCACGCTTTGATCTTCAAGTAGTGTTGTCATGATCTATAACATTTTTACTGATCCACAGTCTGTGAAGTCAGTAATCACATAATCACAGACTAAAGTAATGATTTAGTAAACATATTTATGTATGTACACGTACTAAGTAATATCACACTTTTTATGAAATAGTCTCCTTATGATTTATATATTGTTTATTAAAATAAATTATTATATTATAAATCTGATCAAAATCATACACTTTTCTCTCGATCTTTTTTAGAAAATAAAAAATCTGAATAAAATGAAATGATAACCAATTTATTAACAAAAAACAACATTTGTGAAATGTTCAGATGGATTTAATCCCTTTAAATTCAAGAAATTAAGGTCTCTTAGGATTTTACTGATTTGGATTGTAAATAATTTTTATAGAATGTAAAATATTATGACTCTCAACTGTGTTCAAAACCTCCAATATATATGTATAAAATATATACCGTATACAAGATTTGCTTAATAAGTTTTAAGTCAAAATCTTTAAATATGATTTTGAGTAAATATATTTTTTTTACAAACCTTTTAAAAAATAAAATCATTAAGTGATCACCCTGGATTGCTTTATACATGTATGTCAGACAGTCTGAGTTATATAGTTATGAATGTCAATTTTTATTCAAGTTCAATCAATCTTGGAACAAATATGTCCATCAATTGGTTATACTAATATAATTTTATTTTTAATTTTAATTGTAGCATTTTTTTTTGCTTCAACAAAATTGTATTTTTGATCATCAGTGACTTAAAATGTTAATTTTGACACTAAATCAAGTTTGTTCTATCAAAGCTTACTTAGCATCTTATTATAATGTTATGTTTCAACAATTAATTTATTTTATGAAAACCAATTAATTTGAATCTAACATACAGATTAAAAACCTCTTTTAATTGGACTCCTATTGCAGTAAATGGAAATTAACAGTCTCACTTAAAAGCGTCTTCAACAGACAACAAGCGTCTTCAAGTGACAACAAGCGTCGCCAGACAAAATCTTCAAAAATACTGAATAAAGTAAGCGACATCAGAAGATATGTTGTTAATATGACTATAATGTACCTCTGTACCAAATTTCAATTTGATATTTGATAAAATGACCGAGTTATGATGGATTGAATATTTTACGATCGCGGCGTGGCAAATGCCTATAATGATACACCTGCGATTTGCCAACCCATCTTGATCTTGATCTTGATAGGTATACGGTGACACATCCAAGGATATTATTACACTGCGCGTGCGTCAAGTACTTTACTTAAGTGGGACCCCCCCTTACGATATCACTGAAAGTTTTAGCTGGTTCTTTAGCTGTTTTGATTTTGGTGAAAATATCCGGTGGTAGTAGGTTCCAATCTTTAATTGTGTTTGGTATGAAGCTGAATTTTAAAGTGTCTGACTTTGTTTGCAATCTCAGGTAATGTTGGCTATGCATGTTCTTGGTCGTCCTAGATGGTTCTTTCAATTGATCAGATGGTAAGTTGGCTTGACCGTGTATGCCTTTGCAGAAGAGGATAAGTCTGTTTTTAGTTCGGCGATCTTTTAGGGATAGTAGTTGCAGCTGGTCTAAAATTGCTGTCATACTACCTGGGTCGTAGTTGTAGTTTGATGTTATGAACCTTGCCGCTCTTTTCTGTACATTTTCCAGCTGATCTTGAAGATATATTTGGTGTGGGTCCCAGGCTATATTCGAGGACAGGTCGTATGAGTCCTTTATATGCCTGGAGTTTAACTTCAAGTGGACATGATTGAAGATTTCTTTTCAATAATCCTAATGTCCTGTACGATTTGTTGCATATCTCATCTATGTGTTTTCCCCAGTGTATGTCATTGGTAATGTTGACTCCTAGGTATTTGATAGATGTTAAGAATTGGAGTTTGGTATCTTTTAATGTATATTCGAATGATGTTGTCTTCTTCTTGCGGCTCAATGTCATCATGTTGCATTTAATTGGTTGAAATCTCATACCCCAATTATTAGCCCAGTTACCAAGAGTGTCAATATCTTTCTGAACAGCCTAATTTCAGATGTTACATTATCTGCTATATCGTTGATATGGACTAGAAATAGGATGGGACCAAGAACTGTTCCTTGAGGTACTCCTGATAGTACTGTTGATGTTTCAGATTTAATTCCATTCACTACAACGCACTGAGATCTTTTAGATAGGAAGGCGTTAATCCAATTCAAGATATTTTTCGGCACACCATATTTGTGAAGTTTACTTTTTAAAAGCTTGTGTGGTACAGTGTCAAATGCTTTTTCAAAGTCCAAAATAAATATATCAGTTTGTTTCCTGTTGTCAATTGCAGTTGCCCAGTCGTGAATCACGTTAATGAGTTGGGTTTCACAGCTGTGTCGTCTTCTAAATGCATGTTGTCGGCTATTTAAGATGTTATGATCTTCAAAGTGCTGCATTAGGTTCGAGCAAATGACATGTTCTAGAAGTTTGCAAGTAATACATGTTAGAGATACTGGTCTGTAATTACTTGGGATGGTTCTATCGTTCTTCTTGAATAATGGACATATATTTGCACTTTTCCATTCATCTGGGATGGTTCCTCTGTTGATGGATTGTTGGAAAAAGTGAGCAATTACCTCCGATAGGTGCCAATTCTTTTAGAACTCTGGGGTGTATACCATCAGGACCCATCGCTTTTGATGCATTGATGTTCTTTAAAATCTTCTCCACACCTTTGCTTGATACTGTGATGTTCCTCATTTTGTCTACGAGTGGTGTCTGGTATGGAATGGATTCGTATTTCGTCTTAGTATAAACCCTTGTAAACTGTTTATTCAATGCCTCCGCTTTCTGTTGGTCTGTAACGGCGGTCAAACTATCTTGAGTCTTAAGTGGTGGTATTCCCTGTTTGTCGGCCTTCTGGTTGTTAATATATTTCCAAAATGGTTTGGAATCCTGTTTTATATCCCCTATTAAGTTGTTGACGTAGTTGTTGTGTGCTGTTTCAATTTCCTTGTTAATTGTGCGTCTTAGTTCTTGCCATTTTCGTTTTATTCTCACGCTGTTGGTTTTTTTATAGTTGGCGTGTGTTCTGTTCTTCCGTTTTATCATGACCTTGATGTTATTAGTGATCCATGGTATTGACTGTTTTCCTTTTGATGTTTTAGTTGGTACATTGGTTTTGGTGATTCCTAGTATAAATTCTTTAATCATGTTCCAGTTGTCTTCTACATTCCTGGTGTCTTGATGGCCATTAAAGTATTTGTCTCTGGTGAAGTCCCTTGTATCTTCTCTCATCTGATTGTAGTTTCCCTTTGAGTATTGGGAGAAAGTCCTTTCTGGTCTCATTTTTCTTGGAATTGTGCATTTCAGAGTACCCATGACAATGTCGTGGTCGCTAAACCGATCAGGTGAATGGATATCTGTGAACTGCCCTGGTAAGGTTGTAATTAAGAGGTCTAGCATATTACTTTCCCTGGTTGGAAATAGGACTAGTTGTTCAGCACTAGCCTCATTTAGTATATCTATTAACGCTTGGCCGTCACTCCCGTTTAAACATGTGTTGGTATCTTTATTTAAATGTGTCTGCCAATTTATTTTACGGTAGTTAAAATCACCCAAGATGTGAATGCATGGTTGTTTATTCGCTTTCCCTAAATTCTTGTTTTATTTATTTTATCCTTTAGTAGTTGTATTTGATCCAAAGGGGCGTCAGGTGGTCTGTACCAGCTTCCTATATAATGATGTTTTCCTTGCAAGATGATTTTGCTCCAAATATATTCTGACCCATTTTCGAGGATTTTCACAGGTGCCGAGTCTAGCTGTGTTTTGATGAGTAGCATTGTGCCTCCCCCATTGCCTGTTCTATCGTTGCGGTATATATCATAGCCCAATGTGTCTGGGATCAGTTCATTGGTTGTAATGCTGTTGTCGATTTTGGTCTCTTGCAGCGCTAATATATCTGGATTTTCAGTTTGTAGATATGCCTGCAGTTCAAGTTTTTTACCTCTTAGAACGTTGATGTTAATGGAGACCATTCTGATCTTACTGGTATAGATGGGTCTGCCCTTATCTGAAGTATGTTTTGAACTAAGTGACTCTTTGTTGTTTGTTAGGGCATCAAAGGGATTGTTGGTTTCTATGCCTGATGAAGTGCTTGAGTAGGATGTTGATGAGTTTTGTTCATCACATAAAGGGCAAATCCATGTACAATTTGTTGCTTGTATAGATTTATATTCATCGTTTGACACTATAGCACAGGAGTTATGAATCCATGTTTTACATCTGTCACATTCAATTGCTGGGTCACAATTATGTATGTTGCCTGAGCAAATTCCGCATGGTGCAACGCAGTTTTGGCAGAACCATTGATCAGTCGTGTTCTGTAATTTAGAGTACGTCGTATTGTCCACAGATGTACAACGTGTGTGGATCCATAGATCGCATTGTATTGCTTTGTCGTTTCGCTTGACTAATTTACGACATATTCCACAGCTGTTCTTAACTGGACCAGGGTTTGGTTCAATTTCTGATATTATCAGTAGTATATGTATTAAAAGGTGAGATGGTGGTTTTTGTATGATCGTGATATTCCAGCGTTTTTTACTACCATGTTGTGTGGTGCTAAGGTAAAGATGTACATACCTTTGTATTTGCAAAACAGTGGCAAACACAGACCTTTTTGTAGGGTGATCTTGAAGAGACGATGTTCTTGTGTCTTCATCCATCCATTTTCCACAAATTAACAAAACCAAAGCTATACCCATCGTGTGTTTTTGGGGTTCATGTTGTATTTCAGGAAGTGACCTCTTATCTTTCGACTCTGATAAAATAAACTCACCTCAACAGTCGGAAATCAGTTCTTTTTCTATCCTGACTGCACGGTAATAAAACCGAACTAAGGTAAAGATATTGTTGGCAGAGACATGGAGATAACTAAAAATTCCTTACCCGACGATGAGTCTCGAAATTGAAACCCTTACCAAGGTCCTGCATGTTTGTTTGTTTTTAATCAAAACTTTTATCAAAACAAGCGACGCACTCGGTATACACTGTTTTAGCTGTTTAGTACAAGATTATACTTACCGTCAGCGATACTCCAGAACAGTCGACTGCCACTGATAACTTAATAATATGCAAACTCCCTCTTTTCTATTCTAATTTGCAATGATTTTGATCGATAAAGAAAATTAAATCAACTTCTTTATCTGTCAACTTTTTACTTTTCGAAGTTGACCTTCTTACTTCCTCGTTCAAAACTTCCGGGTTCTGGGTGAATCATCATCTCGCTGACGCTTTGTGCCTGCCCACTTTCCGGTCTTTAGTAGCACCCAGATCCGATCTTGTCGGTCAAACGCTCAATAAGTGTGAAAATGGCGACCTCCATGCAAATAGCATGGAAACACCGGTGAGTGTTAATGCTTGAAACCCTGTCATAATTCATGATGCATCTAGTATCACAACTGTGCTACTATTCTTTCTCAAACGCATGTGCATTCGTTAACGTTCATATATTGCTCTTACTTAGTTTGGATTCCTAAACTTCATCTCGGGACACTAGTCTACAGGAGTTTGACATCTACCCCATTACAATACCCCAAGCTTGGTTATTTCCCTTTATCCTGATAAATGTATTGTATTCTCCATCAAAAGAAGTAACAGTGGAAGTTGAAGATGTATATCATAAAGCACAGAATATTGTCCACCACCGATACTAAGTCTTACTGGTAAACAACTCAAGCATCTGGATAAATACATTGCAAGACCTTTTTAGGTAAACACGCAATGGGAGAGTGAGCTCCAGATACACAAGTCCTGTAAATGGAGGGATGTCTTGAAGCCCTTCAGTATTCTTGCATGCAGAACATTGTCCGGCAGTCTGTTCCAATGAATACCAGTCGTTCTGTACCACCGCCAATCCGTAACATTCAATTTTAGTCTGAATTATTCTGACGTTTTATCGACTTTTTTCATATCAGTCTGTCGTCGATTAACGTCAGAACTCCGGCCCTCTATTATATGCGGGAAATATGCGACCTGCGCCAGGAGCGCACTTCAAACTGATATTTTAGAAACAAATCGTCACTTTCACACACATGTCGCACATGGATTGAAAGATTTATTCTTTATGCACAAGATGAACATACTTAACATGCCTCAAACAACCAATACAATCACTAAAAACATATTTTTTCAAACTTACTCTGTTTTGCTCTAGTTTTTTGATAGCCCCGAAGTTTATATTGTGGCCTTGTTCACGCCTTCACTATTTTCTCATTACAAGTGTATTCCCAATAAATATATATTGTATAGCTCTATAAAGCGACTAGTATACAATCCTACTGTTGTTAGCTTGATCTGTCACATACTGGTTGGTTTCAGAGTATCAAACTGGCTCAGCTCGCCTATAATTGTACCCTTTGTAATCCTAGCGATCATATCAATCTTTATCTTTATGATTTACCTGGATGTAACTATAACGAGACTATTTCTGATGATGTCTTCTTTAGCTTTCCATTACACCATCTCACTTAAAGCATTTCAGATGATGTCTTCTTTAGGTTTCCATTACACCATCTCACTTAAAGCAAAATTGTCAGTCTGAAATCACTGGTGTGTCGTCTATTGTGAATGAATGAAATGGTGTGTAAATCAGACTACACAGAAAGGTAGGGAACTCTTCCCAAATTAGTTATCATCTTCATTAACTCATTCACCCCTGAATCTTCATAATGAACTATTCCAACCTTTGAATTGGAAGAGTTCAAATGTGTCTTCAGGGGTAAATGAGTTAAGCAGGCTGGTCGAAAAATAGAACTAAGTTGGATTATACACTAACAGTTATTTTGAATTTCATTACAGATTGCTGCAAACAACATTGACTCATCTTTGTGGAAGTACACCCCAGAGAAGTTGTCAGATCGGTTTGTTATATTATTTAGCATTATTTAGCATTATTGTTTTTAATCTGTCGTTATTGCATGCATGGCAAGATCTTGTCCTGCCATGAATAATCAAATGTGGTGAAAAACAACACTGCTGGCTTTAAAAAAATCCTTGGAAGTGCTACCAGACTGTTCTGTCATGAATCCATGATTGCTGTTTTTTTTTTTTTTAAGTTTTCCAGATAATCAATTCTATTCATTTATTGACTTTAGGCCTTACCGCCCATTGGTATAAAATAGATAATTATACATGTGAGAACAGCCCTATATAGATTATGTTCTTAGTTTATTTGCTTCAAAAATGAATTTACCAAGACGACATATATCTTTCGTATTCTTAACACATAGAAGTTCTATAAATTTGAATATAGTATTCCAGTAGTACTTTTTTTATAACAACTTCTTCAATCTTTATAGGTGTTACACCAAGTAAAAACGATACTCGTCTTCGACTTCAGTAGTCAAATTACAAATAGTGCAGTACACCTTCCATCGCGAACAATATTTCAGAGTATGGATCAGTAAGAAATCACTAACATATATGTTTGATCATAAAGATGCCATTTTGTATTAATAGCTGCTCAAACCATCACACCGACCAAGGCTAAGCTGATGCGAGTCAAAAGAGACATCAAGATACCGAAGAAAAAGAAAAGGTATGTGAGAGTGCCATATCTATATCTGAAGGTACAGTGTCCATGTATGTGAGGGTGTCATAGATATCTGAAGGTACAGTGTCCATGTATGTGAGAGTGGCATAGATATCTGAAGGTACAGTGTCCATGTATGTGAGGGTGTCATAGATATCTGAAGGTACAGTGTCCATGTATGTGAGGGTGTCATAGATATCTGAAGGTACAGTGTCCATGTATGTGAGGGTGTCATAGATATCTGAAGGTACAGTGTCCATGTATGTGAGGGTGTCATAGATATCTGAAGGTACAGTGTCCATGTATGTGAGGGTGTCATAGATATCTGAAGGTACAGTGTCCATGTATGTGAGGGTGTCATAGATATCTGAAGGTACAGTGTCCATGTATGTGAGGGTGTCATAGATATCTGAAGGTACAGTGTCCATGTATGTGAGGGTGTCATAGATATCTGAAGGTACAGTGTCCATGTATGTGAGGGTGTCATAGATATCTGAAGGTACAGTGTCCATGTATGTGAGGGTGTCATAGATATCTGAAGGTACAGTGTCCATGTATGTGAGGGTGTCATAGATATCTGAAGGTACAGTGTCCATGTATGTGAGGGTGTCATAGATATCTGAAGGTACAGTGTCCATGTATGTGAGGGTGTCATAGATATCTGAAGGTACAGTGTCCATGTATGTGAGGGTGTCATAGATATCTGAAGGTACAGTGTCCATGTATGTGAGGGTGTCATAGATATCTGAAGGTACAGTGTCCATGTATGTGAGGGTGTCATAGATATCTGAAGGTACAGTGTCCATGTATGTGAGGGTGTCATAGATATCTGAAGGTACAGTGTCCATGTATGTGAGGGTGTCATAGATATCTGAAGGTACAGTGTCCATGTATGTGAGGGTGTCATAGATATCTGAAGGTACAGTGTCCATGTATGTGAGGGTGTCATAGATATCTGAAGGTACAGTGTCCATGTATGTGAGGGTGTCATAGATATCTGAAGGTACAGTGTCCATGTATGTGAGGGTGTCATAGATATCTGAAGGTACAGTGTCCATGTATGTGAGGGTGTCATAGATATCTGAAGGTACAGTGTCCATGTATGTGAGGGTGTCATAGATATCTGAAGGTACAGTGTCCATGTATGTGAGGGTGTCATAGATATCTGAAGGTACAGTGTCCATGTATGTGAGGGTGTCATAGATATCTGAAGGTACAGTGTCCATGTATGTGAGGGTGTCATAGATATCTGAAGGTACAGTGTCCATGTATGTGAGGGTGTCATAGATATCTGAAGGTACAGTGTCCATGTATGTGAGGGTGTCATAGATATCTGAAGGTACAGTGTCCATGTATGTGAGGGTGTCATAGATATCTGAAGGTACAGTGTCCATGTATGTGAGGGTGTCATAGATATCTGAAGGTACAGTGTCCATGTATGTGAGGGTGTCATAGATATCTGAAGGTACAGTGTCCATGTATGTGAGGGTGTCATAGATATCTGAAGGTACAGTGTCCATGTATGTGAGGGTGTCATAGATATCTGAAGGTACAGTGTCCATGTATGTGAGGGTGTCATAGATATCTGAAGGTACAGTGTCCATGTATGTGAGGGTGTCATAGATATCTGAAGGTACAGTGTCCATGTATGTGAGGGTGTCATAGATATCTGAAGGTACAGTGTCCATGTATGTGAGGGTGTCATAGATATCTGAAGGTACAGTGTCCATGTATGTGAGGGTGTCATAGATATCTGAAGGTACAGTGTCCATGTATGTGAGGGTGTCATAGATATCTGAAGGTACAGTGTCCATGTATGTGAGGGTGTCATAGATATCTGAAGGTACAGTGTCCATGTATGTGAGGGTGTCATAGATATCTGAAGGTACAGTGTCCATGTATGTGAGGGTGTCATAGATATCTGAAGGTACAGTGTCCATGTATGTGAGGGTGTCATAGATATCTGAAGGTACAGTGTCCATGTATGTGAGGGTGTCATAGATATCTGAAGGTACAGTGTCCATGTATGTGAGGGTGTCATAGATATCTGAAGGTACAGTGTCCATGTATGTGAGGGTGTCATAGATATCTGAAGGTACAGTGTCCATGTATGTGAGGGTGTCATAGATATCTGAAGGTACAGTGTCCATGTATGTGAGGGTGTCATAGATATCTGAAGGTACAGTGTCCATGTATGTGAGGGTGTCATAGATATCTGAAGGTACAGTGTCCATGTATGTGAGGGTGTCATAGATATCTGAAGGTACAGTGTCCATGTATGTGAGGGTGTCATAGATATCTGAAGGTACAGTGTCCATGTATGTGAGGGTGTCATAGATATCTGAAGGTACAGTGTCCATGTATGTGAGGGTGTCATAGATATCTGAAGGTACAGTGTCCATGTATGTGAGGGTGTCATAGATATCTGAAGGTACAGTGTCCATGTATGTGAGGGTGTCATAGATATCTGAAGGTACAGTGTCCATGTATGTGAGGGTGTCATAGATATCTGAAGGTACAGTGTCCATGTATGTGAGGGTGTCATAGATATCTGAAGGTACAGTGTCCATGTATGTGAGGGTGTCATAGATATCTGAAGGTACAGTGTCCATGTATGTGAGGGTGTCATAGATATCTGAAGGTACAGTGTCCATGTATGTGAGGGTGTCATAGATATCTGAAGGTACAGATATGATGGTGTCATAGATATCTGAAGGTACAGTGTCCGTGTATGTGAGAGTGGCATAGATATCTGAAGGTACATTGTCCATGTATGTGAGGGTGGCATAGATATCTGAAGGTACAGATGTGAGGTTGTCATAGATATCTGAATGTACAGCGTCCATCAAGTGTTAGGATCATCTAACACCCAATCCTTGATGCTCAGGAGTTACGCTCTCTTTGCACCCCAGGAATACGTAGCAGTTAATAAACGGCTCGGTATGCATCCTTGATGCTCAGGAGTTACGCTCTCTTTGCACCCCAGGAATACGTCGCAGTAAATAAACGGCTCGGTATACACCACCTTGTGGATGATACGAGAAGTCTAGTTTGATCAATTGCCTACATCAAAAGAATCTCACGTTTGTTTAACGGTAAAACTGACGGTAAAAAGGCTTTTCCTACGTAATTTTCAAAGGACAGGTTTTCACCAGAGACAAATCAAATAGTTAGCTGCATGCCCTCAATTTCGCTACGAAATATTCCAGGGGTGCAGAGAGTGAAAGTGAGGGTAATCTCTGGAGAGTCGAGGATGCCAACACCCCCACAAGTAGGGTTCTAATTTCTGCCACTCTATGACACAGGATCTAACACCACTGAAACACAGACCAACACTGGCTCAAGTCAAGCTTTTACCTGTATACCAACAGGGTATCAAGTCAGTATCGGCAAGTGTTTGGGATTGGTAGGATAAAAGAGTGGGCTAATTAACAGCCTGGATCCTGTAGTCCTAGCTTGGTGGACTAAATATTTACATGTACAGCAATGTAGTCTACATGAAGTAACACTCTTTATGTCTACTGTATCTAACTTTAACTGGAATGACCTGATGATGGGTTTGTGTTAATGTTAGCATGATATGTAGGCCTTAACATTAGACACACTTACACACAGTTTTGACATATAAAAATGGACACGTACACAGATTAGGCCTGTAACGAAATGCACACATGGATAGACTTTTAGGTTAGTCCAGAATGTCATTTTCATAATATTGATGAGGACCTTTACTAAGAGATACAGTGGGGTACCAAAGTGTGGACGAGCTCCAAAGGAAGAGAATGAGTCCAAAACTCTAATACCTATGTCCCTAAAAATCACCCAACACACAACTTAAACAGACACTGCAGGTTAGAAAAGTTTTAAATAATTTTTAATTCACCTAACAATTCACTTGCTTGATATACCCGGATGTTACACACAGCTATAATGGCCTGGGAAAACAGTGAGAAGATGTAAGGACATTTTGAAAGTTACTGAGTAAATATAATTTGTTCTGTTTCAGAGATTCCGTATCTATTCTACAGGCTTTGTCAGAGGTTGCTGGCAAGGTGAGTGTAGTTTTTGTCAGACTGGTGAGGATGACGCCTCCCAATATATCATAGTTTTTATATACCATACTGTCATCAGTGACAACAGATACCAGTCAAAGCATTATCTAATTAAATAAAATCCAAATTTATATCTGTATATGTATAATGATTTGCATCAATTCCTCTTTTTCTGATTAGGAAAAATTATCAGTCCTAAAAATGATAAAAAAATATCACAATTAATGAAATTATTTATCAGTTTAACAGTTTTGAGAGAAATGACTTTAATTCGCAGTAACTCCTAATGAAAGTATAATTGTGTGGTGATAAAACAGAACTTTGATATAGTTCAAGATTCTCATGCCATCGATTGTTTTTGAAAAGAGATCTACATGATATTGGATGTTGATCAGAAGTTGTTGTGACACATTTTCCATTTTTTCCACAGGATCACACCGTCCCCGACTACAAACCAACATATACAGATGATCGATTCGTTATACCATACAATCAGAAGGCAGTAAGTTATATACTCTCTACAATCTAAGTACTGAAAAATGAATTATCACATTTATGCACAGAATTGAAAGCAAAGTTTCTGATTACCAGGGTAACGTTTACATGTTCACATTTCAGCAATCATTTCGATTTGCTTTGACCTCAGGAAGGGTGTCAGCTCAGTATTTTATCCAGCACTTCCCGGAATGTTTTGCTACAAAGAAGAGTGTACCCCACATACTAGTAAGTACCTAGTTCATTGCTGATTCTTGTGCTGGTGATGCTGGATCATTTCCCTGTAAACTGTTATACACCATTTCACATCCTTGCGTCCTGACAAAGATTGAAGCTGTGTTGATAAACCTGGTTTTCTTTGCTATCATACCCCCAATCTTCACACAAGCTTATATAACTTGATATATCACAGTAATATTTAAAAAAAGGTGTTTCTCTGCTTAGAAAATTTGCTGAATATAAAAAATGTGAGCACTTTCATTTTACTGTACCTCTTCACACTGTTGCTTCAAAAGTATATTGTGTTAGACTGCATGACTACACAACAGATCCCTAACCATCATAATACTGATGTAAGTTTGCCTCAACAGGTCTAGGAAACTCTATTAAGATTCTAATTGAGGGCCAGGCAAGGATGACACAGTTTAACAAATTTTGGAAAATGTTGGGCAATTATTTTTCAAAAGTGAAATGGTTTCAATATTAAAATTGTTATTGAATTACAAAGTAAGGAGGGGTAACCCTGGTAATCCACTGTGTTTTATTGTTATTCCAGGCACTAGAGCCAAAACAGGGCCGGGCTAAGGTGGAAGGAACCTCAGAGGAGGCCTTACAGGAAAAGATACAGATCAATCTTGTGGCAGATGCTATGCAAATGTATGAGAAGATAATTGATGAAGGTAAGTGTTAACCACGTTAAAAAGGGACCTTGTTGGGGATTAGGGAACGAGAAATAGATTCACCTTTAGACAGGGTGTGGTTTGTAAAATATTAAAAACCTCAACTCAAAAATACTTCATTGTTAATTTAATAGTGTTTATATACAACAATGTGGTGAGAATGAAGTACACATATTAAAAAAGATAACAGGCTAAACCTCTGTCAATTTGGTTTCCTATCTTTTAAACTATTCTCTTTTTAAACCTTTCATTATAACAGGTGGAAGTGTTGCCATAGAAACAACAGAGGATCTGGTGGATATGATCATGTTCAACTTTGGACAGGAGCAAGATAAAATTACAACCAATCCTTTCAATTTACAAATAGCATCTGCCTGGTCTCATCCAGAACAAATGTAAGTATTTGGTATAAAGTAGTCTTACCATAAAAATCCCTCAATAAGCCCAGGGGGCCAACAAATAATCTTTGACTAAAAGTAGGGATCTGGCTTATTACAGGACAACAAATAATCTCTGACTGAAAGTAGGGATCTGGCATATTACAGGACAACACATAATCTCTGACTGAAAGAAGGGGGTGGGCTTATTACAGGACAACACATAATCTCTGACTGAAAGTAGGGATCTGGCATATTACAGGACAACACATAATCTCTGACTGAAAGTAGGGGTGGGCTTACAGGACAGCACATAATCTCTGACTGAAAGTAGGGGATGGGCTTATTACGGGACAACACATAATCTCTGACTGAAAGAAGGGGGGGGGCTTATTACAGGACAACACATAATCTCTGACTGAAAGTAGGGATCTGGCATATTAGAGGACAACACATAATCTCTGACTGAAAGTAGGGATCTGGCATATTACAGGACAACACATAATCTCTGACTGAAAGGAGGGGATGGGTTTATTACAGGACAACACATAATCTCTGACTGAAAGTAGGGGATGGGTTTATTACAGGACAACACATAATCTCTGACTGAAAGTAGGGGGAGGGGTTTATTACAGGACAGCACATAATCTCTGACTGAAAGTAGGGGGAGGGCTTATTACAGGACAGCACATAATCTCTGACTGAAAGTAGGGGATGGGTTTATTACTGGACAACACATAATCTCTGACTGAAAGTAGGGAGTGGTCTTCTTACAGGACAACACATAATCTCTGACTGAAAGGAGGGGATGGGTTTATTACAGGACAACACATAATCTCTGACTGAAAGTATTGGATGGGCTTACAGAACAACACATAATCTTTGACTGAAAGCAGGGGATGGGCTTACAGAACAACACATAATCTCTGACTGAAAGTAGGGGTGTGGCTTATTACAGGACAACACATAATCTCTGACCGAAAGTAGGGTGTGGTCTTATTACAGGACAACACATAATCTCTGACTGAAAGTATTGGATGGGCTTACAGAACAACACATAATCTTTGACTGAAAGTAGGGGATGGGCTTACAGAACAACACATAATCTCTGACTGAAAGTAGGGGATGGGCTTATTACAGGACAACACATAATCTCTGACTGAAAGAAGGGGGTGGACTTATAACAGGACAGCACATAATCTCTGACTGAAAGAAGGGGGTGGACTTATAACAGGACAACACATAATCTCTGACTGAAAGTAGGGGATGGGCTTATTACAGGACAACACATAATCTCTGACTGAAAGAAGGGGGTGGACTTATAACAGGACAGCACATAATCTCTGACTGAAAGAAGGGGGTGGACTTATAACAGGACAACACATAATCTCTGACTGAAAGTAGGGGATGGGCTTATTACAGGACAACACATAATCTCTGACTGAAAGAAGGGGGTGGACTTATAACAGGACAGCACATAATCTCTGACTGAAAGAAGGGGGTGGACTTATAACAGGACAACACATAATCTCTGACTGAAAGTA